ATTTCCTCAAGCCATTTATGTATTTTAATCCAATACTTTTTCACATAATCACAGGTCCACCACATATGGTAAAAAGTACCCTCATCATGTTTACATTTCCAACATCCATATGGCATATTTGGAAACATCTTAGCTAATCGACTTGGCGACAAATACCATCTATAGAACATTTTATATAAATTTTCTTTATACGAAGTTGCTAAAGTTACCTTAATATTTCTCTCCCATAGCTTTTGCCACTTTTCTAATTCAATATTATATCCAAAATTTTGTGCCCATGTTATCATAGTTTCCTTAACCTGTTCCCCTTCCATTTTCCTGTCAAGTAAGAACTCATAAATTTTCTCATCTGTTTTTAGCATCAAAGGCTATTAGGTCTGTATAAAACCCCCATATTTTACAATCTTTAGCATATCTTGATTGCATCTGCACCTTATACCACCAAGAGATATTGAGTACCTGTTCTTGTATTTCTTGATCTAGTTTCAGGCCTCCATCCTTATCCGAAATATCATCATATCTTATGATCCCTTCAAAATTCAGTACATTTGGATACACAAAAGCTTCCATAGGTGAAAGCCATCTTGGTAATGTATTATACAATTTTGACTTTAACTTTTCCCACACCGACATTAATGATCTTCTAATAAAGTGACTTAAAAAAGTCCCATGAGACTTAACCTTCTCGTACCACATATAAGCATGCCAACCCATTTGCAAATCCTAACCTTCAAGATACAAAATTCTCTTATTTTGCAAGGTTATCCATTCTTTTAGCCAAGTTAAAATAGACTCTTGATAGTACAATATCCAATCAGGAAGACCAAAACCCCTGTCCTTTTAGGTTTCCTGAAGCATTTTTAGTTTAATCCTTGCTTTCTTTTTTCTCCAAATAAATCTCGAAATTTGAAAATTTAAATCCTCAAACATTTTTTTATCAATTTTTACGGGAATCATTTGGAACAAAAAGAAAAGTTTTGGTAGTATGTTCATTTGAACAAGTGCTATTCTTCCCGTCAAAGGCAATTGTAAATTGGCCCATTTTTCCAGGTCACCTTTAATACCCTTCAATAATTTATCATAATTGTCTTCTTTCAAAGTTGTGCATTTAACTGTAAGATAGATTCCCAAGTATTTAACCTTTTTAACAATCTGCAAGTCCACGTGTTCTTGGAGTCTTTTTTTCTGATCTTGTGTAAGATTTTTAACTAAAAGTTTCATTTTTTCTTTCTTTATTTTCATCCTTGTAACCTCACCATATTCTTCAATCCGTTGTAAAAGTTTAGGGATTGTTACAAAAGGTTCCTCTATTATAAAGACCAAATCATCTGCGAATGCTTGCAATTTATAATTTTCATCTCTAATTTTAGTACCTTTAATGTCCTCGTCATCCCTAATATTTCTATTCAAGACCTCTAAAGTCAGAATGAACAATAGGGGTGAGAATGGGCATCCTTGCCTTGTACCCTTTTGTATCTCTATAGCCCTTGTAAGTTCTCCATTAATTAAAATCCTGGCTGATTGTCTTTGATAGATGCTTGATATCGCATTCATGAATTTCCCCCCAAACTCCATTTGAGCCATCTGTTGCTTCATGAATTGCCAATTAACATTATCAAAGGCTTTCTGGGCATCCAAAAACAGTAGAGCCATTGATTTTTCTGTGTGTGTTTCATAGTATTCTAGGATATCCAAGATAGTCCTCAGAGTGTTCTTCATTTGTCTTTTAGGCAGGAAACCATTTTGGTCTGGATGAATAAAGTCTATTAAAAACTTCTTCAACCTTTCTGCCAATATAGAGGCAAAAATTTTATAGTCCACATTTAGTAATGATATAGGTCTGTAATTTTGAATCTGTGTTAAGTCCGTATCTTCTTTCAGTATTAATGTGATATTTGCCTCTGTCCAGTTATCTGGTGTTTTAGCATTTAACAATGCTTCATTACATATATCTTTAAGAGATGTAGCAAAAACTCCCTCAAAAGATTTGTAAAATTCAGCTGGTAGCCCATCTGGACCAGGGGTTTTATCGTTCTTTTGTCCCATGATTGTCTCTGTTATTTCCATAGTTGTTACTTCTTGATTCAATAATTTTTGATACTTTTCTGGTAGTTTTGGCAAGTCTCCCTTTCGAATGTATTCTTTTACCTTCTCGATCAAAATCTCCTTCTGGTATAACCTTGCAAAAAATCTTCAGCTATTTTCTTAATTTGTGTATTTTGTACCTGTAGTCGTCCTTCTCCGTCTTTCAGTTTCGAAATGAGTTTCTTCTCTCTTTCTTTTTTTACTTTATATGCTAGCCATCTCCCTGGTTTATTAGCATTTTCAAAAAAATTCTGTTTAGCCAGTTTCATTTGCTTAGTAAGTTCATTTGTATCCAAGAGATTCAATTTGTGCTTTAAAGTATTCATTTGGACACTAAGATTTCTTTTTGTTGGATCCTCCTGCAGTTCTTGTTCCCGTTTCCTCAGTTCTTCTACTAATGTTGCTCGCTCTTGCTTTTTCTTTTTATTTATTTTTGCTGAGTAGGTTATTATCAGTCTCCTGACATAGGCCTTAGCTGTATCCCAGACATATCCCAAAGTTTCTTCCGCTTTGTTTATTTGAAAGAATATTTGCATTTCTTTGCTTATCTCTTCTGTAAATTTTTTATCTTTTAGTAATGCTTTATCTAGACTTCATCTGGGCGTCCTTGCAGCTCCTTTCAGTGATACAGATACAGGGTTATGATCCGCCCAGACATTTGTCTCCATTTCAGCTTCTATCAAATCTGGAACTAAGTCTAGAGTTATCCAAACCATATCAATTCTAGACCATGACCTGTGTCTGTTTGAATAAAAAGAATAATGGGCAGAAGTTGGGTTTTTATGCCTCCAGGCATCTATCAATCTGAGTTCTTCAGTCATGTTGGAACAAGACTTTGGAAGCCTCCTCCTACTCTTTTTTCCCCTTACTTTCACTCTTGTGATCGATTCCCTTATTCACAATTGCATTAAAATCGCCCATTACACACACAGTCTGATAGTCCACTTGTAAGAGTAATGTACGTAGTTTTTGGTAAAAAGTTTCCTGATGGTCATTTGGTGCATATATTGCCACTAAGAGCACCTTTTTATGTTTAATTGTAATTTCTACCATCAAGATCCTACCATCCTCATCAGCAAGAATATATTTAGGGTCCAATTTTTCTTTAACATATAGTGCTAAACCTCTTTTCTTTTGCGATGCAGAAGATACGAACAATTTTCCCAGTTTTAAACATTCCAGAAGTTTAACATTGTTTCTTAATATGTGTTTCTTGTAGACAAATTATATCTAACCTTCATTTTTGAAGTTGAGCAAAAATTCTTCTTCTCTTAGATGGTCCATTTTAGTCCATTAACATTTAAGGAGAACAATTCAATTTTCCCTTCCTTTTTAAGAGCCATATTTAATAGAATTATCTACTTTTTCTTTGCCTTTACAGTTCTACCTTTTTTTCCTCCTTTGAGTCCAAAGTCTGTACTTCTTGTTGTGAATCAACCTTCAGTATTTCTCCTTCTTCAGAATGGTACGCTGTTATTTCCATTGCTTTGGCACCTTTTTCTCCTTCTTTAGAGACGACAGGGTCCTCCTCTTCCAACATGACTCTAAATTTTCATAGAACTCTTGTGCTTTAAGAATTGAATCCAATTTATATCTTACAGAGTTCCATGTGAAAAATATTCCTTCTGGTGTTAGCCACTTAAAGATAATCTCTTTCTTGATCAGTTTTGTAGTAAGGAATAGATATTTCTTTCATCCCTCTCTAATCCTCCGTGGTATCTGTTTCAGGACCGTCACCTCCTGATGATCATCTCTCTTTAACGGCTTCTCCTGTACGACCTTCAAAACATTGTCTCTTATAGACCTCAGAGCAAATTTGACATGAACTTCTCTCGGAAGTTTATTCTTTCTGGTGTAAGAGGAATTGACCCTAAAAACAAGGTCAATTCCCATACCCATGACCTCATTCTCGATTTCTAAAAGCTCCGCCAACATGTCAGTTATAAGCTCTCTCAGATCCTCATTTTTCTCTTCAGGTATATTCTGAAATCTTAGATAGTAAGATGCCTTCTCCATCTCTAATGCAGCCGTTGAGTCCCATGTTGACTTAATTGTTTGCTTAATTAAATATATTTATCTACTGTCTCCAATTTTTCACATACTTGTTGCATTTTTTGTGTATTCTGTTCCGCTTTAAGTCGAACATCAGATAATTGAGTTGTCACCTCTTTAATAGAGTTATCCAGTTTGTCAAGTCGCTCTTTTTGCTCATTTGATAAGCTTTCCAGCCGTGTTGACATCGCCTCTTGAGATGTTTGCAAAGTTGTTAAAGCCGTCTGTATCGCCAAAGTCGTCATTTGCAACTCTTTTAAGCTTTTTGCAACATCTTCTGTCTTAGGCTGATGAATTGGACTCTGACCAGCTGAGGAGGGTGCTGAAGAGGGCTGAGTTTTCCTCATGATGAAAGTTGTTCACCAAAGAAGTTTCAATATAACAGCAAAAAAAAAAAAAGAAAAAAAGAAAAGAAAAGAAAAGAAAAACAGTAGAAAGGGAAGAAGAAAAAAAAGAGGAGAAAAAATATAAATTGAATAAAATATTAAAAAGAAAAAAAAAGAGAAACAAAAATGAAAGTAGCTTGCAATAATTCCAATAGCCACCGGGTGGCAGCAAAATGCTATTTAAAAAAAATGAAAGAAATGTCAGTGTCCAGCTTCTTTTTGGCAGGAGTCCCAGAAAAAATGGAAGCTGGCCAAAAATGGCCACCGGCAAATTAGGGGCTTTTCTTCCTTTATGCCAATTAAGAACAGATGTAGTTTTTCCACAGGTAATATTGCAAAAAGAAAGTAAAAATGCTCTCCAGAAATTCATCACAGTAGAGAGGAAAACATCACGTAACACAAAAATTATCCTGGCAAGTGTCCAGTTAGTCTTGGCAGAAGTCCAAACAGGTATCCAAAATGATCACTCTACCTTTTAATCTTCTATAATTTAATTCCACAGTAATTATTCATTTGCTTTTCGCCCTTAGAGAGATTAGAAGGAAAATCTTTTTCTTCGGCTTCAGTTCAGATAAAAGTCTTCACATTCTCTCCTATATCAGTTGCCGCTTAAAAACTTTGGGAGGGCTTTCTCTTTCTTCTTTAAGCCAATTATGAACAGATACAGCTTTTTCACGGGTAGTATTGCGAAAAGAAATAAGAAATAAGAATGCTTACCAGCCGTCCGATGCTTATCTGGCTAAAATAAGCTAATTAATCCATCAGATGTCGAGAACTGGAAGGGGCTAAAAAAAACCCCTGTGTTGCCCGGTTGAGAAATGCCTGAATTTGGGATTGCCGTCCCACACCAACCAAGATATGGGATTGCCGTCCCACACCAACCAAAAGAAAGAATGCCAGGCAATCTGTCTTCGCCCCGACAGGACTTAGATGAGTCTCCCACAACTTGCTGCCAAGCAATACCGGCGTGATAACAGGAGCTCCATTAATCACAGCCGTCTCGTTCCGACGCCATCTTGAATTCCTCTAGATCTTTGTTTTCTTCTTGTTCAGCTGCAGTCCTGCTGTGCACCTTCCCCTTTTCTGTCCTCTGGAGTCGTTTCAGTGCGTCACTGCTTTCTCCCAGCAGTATGGTATCGCCATATACATATGTTGCATTTCTGATGGCTCTTCCACCAATTTTCTCTCCTTCCCCTTCCAGTCTTAATCCAGCTTTTTATGCAACTTGTTCCACATGCAGATTGAACAGTGAGGAGATAAGATACATTCTTGCGTGATGCCTTTGCCTGTAAGAAACCATTCAGTTTCTCCCTATTCTGTCCCAACAGCAGCTTCTTGTCCACAATACGGATGGTGCAGAAGGACAGTCCAGTGCTGGGGCATGCCCATTTCTCCGAGGACCATGCATATCTTATAGTGATCACGTAGTCGAAAGCTTTGCTGTAGTCTGTGAAGCACAGACAGATCTTTTTCTGAAATTCCAGTGGCAAGTGTATAGTTGTAATACAGTCTCAGAGGCCTCTTCCCTTTTGGAATCCAGCTTGACTGATTGGCTCGTCTCCTTCCATATTGGGTCAAATGGTTTGCTACAACACCTTGACCAGCACTTTGCTTGCATGGGAAATCCGTGCAAAGGTCCGCTGGTCACACACGCCTTAGCACCCCCTCGGTTGGGAACTGGGATGTGCATTGGGCGCTTCCAGTTGTTTTGCTTTCCATATTTGTTGGCAGAGTTTGGACAAATTCGGCCCCTGTGGTTTGGGGTGGCTTGGTAGGCATGCTTCCCACTCTGCGCACTCCCTGCTCCCAGGTGCTTTCGGAGCAGCTTTCACTGCCCTTTCTAGTGCTGCAGGCTCTTCTTGGGGGGTTCCCTGGGACCTTGCCTCCAGGAGCCCAGAACAGGCTTTGGCCGGGACCTGGCAATCTTGCCGCAAGGGACGGTGGCGCAGCTGCTGCTTCAGCAGAGCCAAACAGCTGCTACTTCTGCCTGTCTGCCTCCCTGCAGGGGTATACGCCTGAGGCCTGCCTCCAGTTCAAGGATCACTTCCATGCTCAAGTGAGAAATGCCTGTCAGCACCGGAATACTGGGCCTATCGGGTAAGTCTCCATTCAGGAAAGCCTACGCTTAGCTGCATAATAAATATGTATAGAGACCAGTTTCTTAGCTTTTCCAGTCTGCTTGCTTACTGTCCCTCCTCTTGGTCACCTTGGGCTACTTGGGCTCTCAGCCGCATTTGGCATATTCTGCTGCTCCCAAGGAGCAGGAATGTTCCCATGATTGCTGTGGCCAAGCCAGTCTCTCGCTGGCTGGAGGCCTGTGTCCTTCTCGCTCTGGACTGCCTCAGTAGCTCAAGGACAAAGCACACCCAAGGATACAGTCAGATCCATGTGTTTTTCTGTTCGTAGTCCCCCAAATGTAACTTGGGGTGACATTTTGGGGAAGTGCCTTCCAAACAGAAGTAGGATGCTTGGCCCTGTGGACAGTGACACTGGGGCTCCGTGGGCATGTGGGACACAAGGGGCCCTGCCACCACTTGCTGTCAGCCAGTTGCTCAGCCCTTAAAACTCAACAAGGCGGGATTTCTTTCTGTCTAAGAACGTGTCTCTGCAGCCCATTTGCATACAGGGCCAGAGGGTTTCCGAGACTTGCAGGTGTGGCGCATGCATGCAGGTAGCAAGGTATGTGCTCATGCGTGGAATGGTGAGCACAGAGCTCAAGAGGACCGGGGGTGTGGGCTGGGGGCCGGAGGCACTGGGCCCAGGGTGGCCCACAGCCCTGGTGGCACTGTCAGGGAGATAGGCAGGGCCAGGTCTGCATGTGTTGTCCTGTACTCTGTCGTCGTGGCTGCCCCGTTAGGGGCTTCCATCACTCCTCTGGCCTCTGACCCTCTGTGAGGATGAGAGAACAAGAGGAGCAGGAAGGGATCTGCTGCAAGGAGAAGAACAGAAGAAGAATGTCAGGAGAGCACGAGGGGAAAGAGAAAAGGCCCTCCCACTGTTTTGTGATTTGGCTTGAAGCCCAAGGGCCAAGAATTGTTTTCACTCTTTCCCTCGTGCATTATCCAAATGGATCTCCAGCTTTGGCTACTGTGCTTCCCTTAATTTCATGCTATTTCTCACAAGGGACCTGCATAGCACTGGATAGAGATATAAATAATGACTGGCTTGAATAAGGATTTCTTTGGCTGCTTTCTTGTCCTAGCGGCCCGCCGTGCAAATGGAAATGTGTCTTCCACCCAACAGCCTCCATCCTGATGGTGCCTGCTCGACCTTCCCTGCCTGGCCCACGCAGCTCCCCTCCCCTCTCATTCTTACACCAGCCAGACTGGAGTGGCCTCATCAGGCGCGTTCCTTCCAGCCTCTCTCTCGCTGGGGACTTGAAAGCCCGCGTGCCATTTTGCCACCTCCAGGTGGTCCTAAAAATGCTATTACCATGCTTTTTTGATGTTCCTGACTATGTGAAAATGTTTGTTGCAGGCTAAAAATATCCAAGGTGGTTGTAGTGGGAGACCTTTGTGTTGGAAAAACAAGTCTTATCAACAGGTATGGTAAGTTTTAACACCCAGTTTCAGTCAGAATGTCTGTCTTTCCAGCCTAAAGGGCAGTGATTAACTGCTGCTGTTTGGCTGTTCCAGTCAACCAGTTTACCCTGCTGTAAATCCACATGAGCTCATTGCCGTCTGTCAGCGGGGACCTTGCGGGGTGCCTGGGAGGGTGCAAGGCCTTGGTTCCTTTGGAGACCCTGTCTTGAGGGCTGGGTGTGGGGCGATGCTCGTGTTCGCTTCTAGCCACACACCCTTGCACTTCCTGATCCTTGTGAGGGAGGGAGGACATTCTGTTGTTCAAAAGCAGCTTTTGCAGTCCCGTCCCTCAGCAACTTGGAAAGAGTCGTTTTTAACTGCACATCTTGAAAACTGGACTTTCTCCCCGATAGAAAGAAGACTGGTGATACTTTAGCTTAAGAGGAGAATTAAGTCAAATGGATCCTACAAGTGAAGGTTCCTGGACTTAACTTCTTGCACCACAAACAAAGGAAAGCAGTTCTGCCCTCCATGCTTCCTGTACATCAGCCCTCTTGCCAGTTAGAATGCTCCTGTGGTGGTGGTGGTAGTTTTTCGCTAGCCCACAAGAATTTTCACTTTGCTCATGTTTTCATTAAACTAGCATATGAAAATGATAATTAGGGTTTGTTACCCTAATAATAATTAGGGTTTATTAATAATAATAAACCCTAGATTAATTTGTCTCTCTCCCTCCTCCTCCCGAGTATAACATGGATAACTCCTATAATTCAGAGGTAAATATGACTGAGTTAATGAGATTTACTTATTTAAATTTTTATATACCATTCCCTCAGCACATTGCTCTCACAACAGTTCACCAATAACCAAACATTGAAATACCATAACAAGCAGCCAAAAACTTATGCAAGAATACCAACAAAACCAGGATGAACAGCTATAACGCAGAACAAATAACAACATATTGAACTGAATCAGCCAATCATTATAATAAAAACAAATATAAAAACACATCTTAAATCAGCAGTTAAAATAATGAGAGAATAAGAAGGTTTTGACCGGCCACCAGAATGTATCAAGTGTTGGTGCCAGGCAGTTGGTTCTGTAAATGAGGCACTCCTGCTGAGAAGGCCCTTCCCCTCACATCCACCTTCCTTGCTTCCTTCAAAGGTGGGTCTCGAAGAAGGACCTCTGTTGAAGGTATGAGGGTCCAGGTAGGAATATAAGGGAAGTGCTAAGTAAGGCTTGCGTCCATGACGAAACATGGATTTCCTCCTCTAAATAGAATCTCTTGATACAAGAGATTCAATGTGTGCCTTTCGTCCCCTGTTTATGGTTATTTATGTGTTTCTTGTGACCCTCCAGTTCTGCTTCCATTTTCAATCGGTATTTTCAGCAATAATTTCAGAGCACGGAAGATGGGGTATTATTTCTGAAAACAAAGGGAAATGCTGTCTTTGTGCTCAATATCATAATGCTACATGGTGTCTATGTAGAGCAAAAGTAGGAAAGGAAATGCTCTTTGTGTAATAGTGCCTGGGTTGCAGTTTGACCATGAAGCCAAGAGTAGTTGCACTGGATTCATAACCTCCTCTGGAAAAGTTGGAAATGCCATGTGAACCCCCTTTTCCTTATTACAGGTTTTGTAAAGATGTTTTTAACCGAGATTATAAGGCAACCATTGGAGTGGATTTTGAAATTGAACGCTTTGAGGTAGCTGGAGTCCCGTACAGTCTTCAGATGTAAGTTGGAATGTGCAACTCGTGGAACACTTTAATGTAGCAAGAATGAGGTGTTAAGGCATCTCTGATTGAAATGGTGTTGTTCATTCACATCTGTGTACTCACATGTATGCATCTGTGCTCAGTTAACCCAGAAATAGAGGGGTGATGTGCAGGCAGCAGATTATTTATTTACTAGATTTGTACCCTGCCTTTTCCCTTTTTTTTGAAGAACTCAGAATCGCTTTCCTCCCCCTCCCCCCTCCTCCTCTCAATCTTATCCTCATAACAGCAACCCTGTGAGGTAGGTTGGGCTGAGAGTTTGCGGCTGGCCCCAAGTTGTCCAGTGGGCCTTGTGGCTGCGCGGGGACTCGAATCTGGATCGCCTGAGTCACAGTCCTGCGCTGTTCACCACCGCACTGCACCGGCTCTCATGCACTGTAGTCCAACCAGATGTGGAAAGTAGCTTCCTGAGAAAATGTGCAAGGAAATAAATCCATTTAGCCATAAAAGCTACAGAAGGAAAAGGGCTCGGCTGTGACGCTACCCTGGCAGTCTAAGTCCATTAGCAGTGAGAGAGAGAGAGAGAGAGAGAGGAAGGTGGAGAGGGATTGCGCCAGCAGGGTGCTCGGGCTGCAGGAGAAAACCCACGGCAGGGGTGTCTTGAGGCCTTAATGGCACATGGTGGCTGTGTGAGGGACAGAGCAAACAGGTGTGCATTGCTGAACTCCTCTGCGAACGTGGAGAACTGTGGACTGAAACCAGAGACCTTAATAGGGAAGAATGCAAAAAGACAGTTCTGGTCGCCATAAAGAAAAACGGTTGGATGGATGGCCAAAGAAACCGCCACCATTGCTAAGGAGAGGTGAGGAGCAGAAGCAAATGTAAAAGCAAAAGGTGACCAAGGCAGGGTTTGGATCCTGAGATCGAAGGTAAATTCAGACCTAGATTAAGAACGCTGAAAGAACAAAAGGTGAATATAACATCCGACGGGGATAAAATACATGGAAGGTGAAACAACGTATGGAAGAATATGTTACGCGCTGCTGTCAAGTGACTTCTGATGTATGGCAACCAAGCCTATTCATGGCATCCAAAATATACTGCCCAGCTTTTAGATAATGTTCAGGAATACAGTAGTGTGAATGATCCTGGTCTTGATCATGCTCCCATTTGATGATCTTTCATTGCTGCCCTTCCAGTTTCAGACTCCTTCAAATGTCTTTCCTGCCATCTCCATCTGAATTGATGACTGAGAAAAGAGATACAAAATTATTCACAATTTCAGTTGCTTCATTGCTGACAAGAAAGTTATGGAATTCTTCTTCAGTCATGATTTTAGTTAGTTAATTTGTTTTACAAATATCAGATGCAGTCCTGATTTGCAGGTTCATCTTTTGCACTTACTAGAAGTTGTTTCAGTTACAGATGAGATAAAAAGTAGTGGAGTCTTTTGAAGAGGAATTCTTTGAGGAAGAGCTTGCGGTGCTAGAAAGGGAAGCAAGAGCTGCCCTGGAAGCTCTTGGAAGGAATGCTGCACTCGGAGCAGGGAGGAAGGAAAGCTGCGCTTCATTGCAGCATTTTTTGATCAGCTAACACTGAACTTACTCCTCAGGTATTGCTGCTTTTTAGCTAATGTAGTCTTATGTGGAAACCACTTTGTACATACTTATTTTCTTGCTTCTTCTTAACGAGCCCTTGCCCGGCGTACCCCAAATGCACAGGGCTGGCGGACACAGTTGGGTCCCTGCCGTGGGCCCACACCCTGGCAGGGACCGCGCACGACACCTGCCACCAGCCTGAGCCCTTCACCCACGCAGCCTTTCACCCGTGCCTCACTCGGGCCCAGACAGGGCGGTGAGAAGAAAGGGGCGCAGCAGGGGCCTGCCTCTTGCTCCCTGCTTTTCTTTGCTTGTCAAACTGGCCAATTACAGGAATGGTGAGAAAGAGGAGGAGGAGCAGAGCAGCCGGTGTCAATGATGTCAGAAGGAGCTTTGATGCTTTTGAAACCTGCTGCTGGAGGATATGGAAGACAAACCGGAAGATCTGAGATCAAATTAGATCAGAACTTTCCCTGGAAGCAAGATTGACAAAACTGAAGCTGTTGTACTTTGGGCACATCATGAGAAGGCAAGACTCAGTGGAGAAGACAACAGTGCTAGAGAAGGTTGAAGGCAGAAGAAAAGGAAACCCAAATATTAGATAAAATGATGTCATAAAGGAAATGTCGGCCTTGAGTTTGCAAGAACTGCCCAGGCCCGTCAAGGATATAACACAGAGACATACAAACACAGAAGCATAGAAACAGAGTGAGTCAGAAGGGGCCCCCTGGGCCATCTACTCAGATGCCCAGCTCCAGCCGGCTCCACTCAAGTCATGCCTACCATGTGAACGTCCAGCCTGTCCTTGAACACCCTCACTGATGGGGCTTCAGCCACCTCCCATGGAAACCCATTCCATACCCAAGGCGTCCTAATTGTCAGGAAGTAATTTCTGACATCCACCCTGAATCTTGCTTCCCTGAGCTTTGCTCCTTTGGAACACATCCGGCCCTTCACTGCAGGGGAAAAAGGGTCATGACACAGTCTCCACATGACAACCCCGCACATACCTGTATGTCACCAACAGGTCCCCTCTGAGTCTCCTCCAGGCTGAAAAGACCTCATTCAGTTCCTCAGTCTTGCCTCATGCATCTTTTCCTTTAATCCGGCCACCATCCTCGTGGTCCTACACTGCACTGACTCTAACCTGGCTATATCCTTCCTGTACTTTGGAGCCCAGAACTGAGCACAATACTCCAGTTGTGGGCACACCAGAGTTGTATAGAGTGGTAGTAATACCTCTCTCGGCCTAGAAGCCACACTTCTGGCTATGCAACCAAGGGTGGCATTCGCCCTTTTGACCACCGCATCACACTGCTGGCTCATGTTTAGCCTGCAGTCAACCAGCACCCCGAGGTCCCTTTCACAAGTGCTGCTCTCCAGCTACTTGCCCCCTAACCTGTACTTATGATACCTATTTCTGTATCCCAAGTGCATGACCTGTTATCCTCTGCCCACTTCCATACTCTGCCCAGATCCTTCTGGATCAGGAGCACCTGCTCCTCAGTTGTGGTAGGGACAGAAAATGAACTGAGAATAGCAAGGGATGCTAAGAACAACCTAAGGAAAGCCTTCAGATACACGCAGAAATAAAGATGTGAGAAAGAAAAGGGTGTCCAGCTACTTAAAGTGGATGGCAGCGTGCTGACAGACAGCAAGGAAAAGACAAATGCTCAACTTCTACTTCGCCTCAGTCTTCTCCCACAAGGAAGTCTGCAATCAAGAGGAAGTTCTGGCTGGAAGAGAGAGATGGCAGCCCAAGATGGACAGAGAAATGGTCAAGGAATACCTAGATGGAATGAACACTTTCAGATCTCCAGGGCCCAACGAACTCCATCCCAGAGCCACAGAAGAGCTAGTGGAGGAACTCTCAGAACCACTGGTTATTATCTTTGACGAATCTTGGAAGATAGGAGAAGTGCCAGACAACTGGAGAAGGGGTAGCTAGGGTTCCCTAT